AAATGAATAGAAGCTATTCTCCAAATACCTCAGCCACTTTCTAAGAGGCAAATATGGGAATTTCTCGGAGCTGTGGGATACTGTAGACTATGAATTTTAAACTTTGCCGAAATAGCCCAACCCCTATATGAGGACATAAAGGGCCCTGGGGAGGGAATAAATTGGACAGAGCAGCAACAAAAGGCCTTTGAAAGCCTTAAATCCGCCCTCACCCAGGCCCCAGCATTAGCCCTTCTGGACTTAAATAAGCCATTTTCCCTCTTCATGGCAGAATGGAGGAGAATTGCCAAGGGAGTCCTCACCCAAGATTTAGGACCCTGGAAACGACCAGTAGCCTACTTATCTCATAAGTTAGATCCAGTAGCCTCTGGATGGCCTAACTGCTTAAGGGCAACTGTGGCCACCGCCCTCCTTGTTAAAGAGGCAAACAAATTAACCTTAGGGCAAGAGCTCGGAATAACCTCTCCCCATGGGGTTGAGACTCTATTAAATACTCCCCCTGGGAAATGGATCTCAGGCGCATGCCTGACTCATTACCAAGCCTTGCTGTTAGACCCAATGCGCATTAAATTTCATCCTGCAACCACTATAAACCCTGCCACATTGCTTCCTGACCCAGACCCAAAGATACCCATACATGACTGTCTGGAGGTACTGTCTACCTTCCAAGGGACCTGGCCAGATTTAAAAGACTCTCCTTGGGAAGGAGCAGAACTAACCTTGTTCACAGATGGGAGTAGCTACGTGATTGACGGGATCCGGTGTGCAGGAGCAGCGGTGGTCTCTACAGAGGCCATTACATGGTCACAAGCACTGGGACCAGGAACATCAGCACAAGAAGCAGAGCTCATTGCCCTCACGAAGGCATGACAGCTGAGCCAAGGGAAAACAGTGAACATCTGTACAGACAGCAGGTATGCCTTTGCCACGGCACACATACACGGGGCCTTATATATAGAGAGAGGGCTGTTAACAGCAGAAGGAAAACCCATAAAGAACGTACCAGAGATCCTGGCCTTATTAGAGGCTATCTGGCTCCCCACCAAAGTTGCCATCATCCATTGTAAGGCACACCAACGGGGGAACTCTCCCACAATACTAGGGAATAACTTTGCGGATCAAACCGCAAAAGCAGTCACCTTAAAACCAGTGGGGATCACAACCATAGCGCCTGCTTTACCGGAGCCCCAGCTGCCAGCCAAGCCAGCTTACTCAGAAACTGATCTAGAGGGGGCTGAGAAACGTGGGTTAATACCCGACCAGAACACTGGATGGATTAAATCTAAAGATGGGACACTTTGGTTACCAGAAAACTTGGGGGCCTGCCTAGTTTGGGACACTCATAAGGCAACCCACTTGGGCAAAACTAAATTATTCACTTTGTTGAGAAAAAATTTTAACTTCAATAATATGCAAAGAGCAATAGAAACTGTCTCTCAACATTGTCTCTCACGTGCACAAGTAAATGCCAAAAAGATTGCTAAGAATTGGCAAGGTAATCGACAAAAAGGAGAATATGCTGGAGAACATTGGGAAGTCGACTCCACTGAGGTCACGCCAGGAAGGTGTGGATACAAATATTTGCTTGTTTGTGTGGATACTTACTCGGGATGGGTAGAAGCTTTCCCAACCAGAACAGAGACAGCTCAGACAGTTGTCAAAAAATTCATATATGAAATCATACCCCGATTCGGCCTCCCCATAACAATCGGGTCAGATAATGGTCCAGCCTTCATAGCCAAAGTTTCCCAACAAACGGCACAGAGCCTGGGAATTACTTGGAAATTACACTGTGCTTACAGGCCTCAGAGCTCGGGACAGGTAGAAAGGATGAATAGAACTTTAAAAGAAATGTTGGCAAAACTCCACTTAGAGACTGGCGAAAACTGGGCAGACCTCCTTCCCTTCACTCTGTTAAGAATTAGGAATATCCCTTACAAGGAAAATTTTACGCCTTTTGAAATATTGTTTGGGCGACCACCATCCCTATTGCCCAAGCCCATAGCAAATGAATCCAATATTCAGAGATTACCCTCCCCCATACTGGGTGAACTCCAAACACTCCAACAGGTTTTCTCAGAAATCTGGAATAAGCTTGATGTTACTAATGACCCTTTTCCCAAGCAGGAATGGGAAGCCAAAGTGCCCATTCTCCAGCCTGGGGACCTAGTTTACGCCAAGCGACTAACTGCAGGAGCACTCCAGCCCCGGTGGTCCAGACCGTTCCAGGTGATCCTCAGCACCCCAACAGCAGAAAAGGTCACTGGAAAGGATGCCTGGATTCATTGGACCCACATAAAGCCTGCACTGCCCACCGAAGATGCTACAGGAGACCGATGGACCGTTCAATGAACAGACTCACCTTTCAAGATAAGACTTACAAAATGTTCTGGTTAACTGTTTTGAATATTTTGGTTCAAACCTTAAACCATGTCACTGCAAATCCCCATACTGTTTATAATTTTACCTGGGAAATAACCCAGGTGGGGGATTCATCTCACCTTGTCTTAAGTTCTTTTAGCACACCTGGTGTAAACCTAGCTACTGGGGCTTTTCCCAAGTCACTTGCTTTTAACCTAACTTATTTATTCCTTTCTGTACTGCTGCTCCAACTAAAATTATACTATCACTGGTATGCATGCCCAGGACCCATAAACCAGCCTCCAAATTGGCGATGTGGATATGAGGATAATTACTATTGTAAAACCTGGGATTGTACAGAGTCAGCAGGAGGGTGGCCTGATTGGAACCCCCCGAGGCGCAAAACTGCCCTCATTTCCATTACAAGGGACCTAGTTTACAGCAGACAAACTCCCCAGGCATCCAACAGAGTCAATATTGCCTTTACTCCTGTGGGAAGAGCCCACTCCTTAACTGATTGGAAAATGGGCCTAACTTGGGGTATCCAACTTTGTGGTTCCTTTGCCAACCCAGGAAAAATCATTAAAATTAGACTAAAAATAACATCCTTGACCAAACCTATGGCCATCGGCCCTAACCAATTGATAACCTCTCCGCTGATTCCACCAAGCCCATTCCCTAGAATCTCTGCTCCCTACACCCCCCAACATAGTTCTCCCAGCCAACAATTCTGGAACCAAATGGAAAGTATATATAATGTACTAAATACCACCAACACAAATGTTATCAGTCCCAGATGTTGGATATGCTTACTTACCTCGCCCCCTTATTATGAAGGAATAGCGGTGTCAGGAAATTATACCATTAAGACAAGCATTGATAACTGCTACTTACAACATCCAGGAATAGGAACCAGTTTAGAACTACTTACAGGAAATGGGACCTGTATAGGAAATTATTCCGCCCACTCCAGACCCTGCCAAACTGTTAATTCCCCCATCGTTTACTCAGGCTATTACATACCCACAAAGGGGACATGGTGGGCCCGTACAGCTGGAATAACCTCACGTATCCATGGACAAATGCTAAACAAGATGGGAGGATATTGTGTCCTGGTATTCCTATTTCCCAGAGCTTCTGTTTATGCTTCTGACCAATTTCTCCCCGAGCTTAGTTCGGACCCTTTACATAGGTCGAAAAGAGAGCCTATAACACTTCTCACCATCGCTTCCATTGTAGGCCGAGCTGGGTTGGGGACCAGAGTAGCAGCATTAAGCACTCAGAACTCTGCCTTAACAGGATTACAACAAACTATTGACCAGGATCTCCGAGAGCTCAAGAATTCCTTAACCCTCCTCCAAACATCTTTGTCTTCCCTTTCCGAGGTGGTCCTCCAAACCCGTAGGGGACTTGACCTCCTTTTTCTACAACAAGGGGGACTCTGTTTAACATTAAAGGAAGAATGCTGTGTATATACAGATCATACCCGAGTTGTTGAGGACGCCATGAAAAAATTAAGGGAACGTATTAAACAACGGGAACAAGACCGGGAACAATCCTCTAATTGGTTTGAATCCTGGTTTAACTTTTCCCCATGGCTAACAACCTTAATTTCCAGCCTTATGGGACCATTAATAATCCTCCTCTTGCTAGTAACCTTAGGACCATGCCTTTTCAACAAACTCCTTGACTTGATCCGGTCCCGCATACAAGAGGTCAAGTTACTGGTTCTCCGTTCCCAATATGACCAAATTCCACTGGAAGATTTGGAACACTTAAGCTGGGGACCAGATTTTAGCCCTTAAGCAAAGATTTGCTTTCCAGAAACTCCCTTAAAACCAGTGGGGAATGAAGTGATGCCCTCTTTCTAAGAGCAGGACCGACGCCACTAAAGATTGTGTAAAAGTTAGGCGGGAAAGTGGGGGTGGGACGGGAGGAGCTCCGCTAACTGCACAATTAGCTCATATACTGTCGGCTTGCTTGCATTGCCTAATACCTCTTGGCGCGGCAATCGGGTGACCGAGTTGCCGCGCTTGCAGCTTTAAAAACCAAGAACAAAGACGGTTCGGGGCTGCACCGTTGAATTGGCTAGTGCGGTCCCAGCTGCTGGAAATAAAAATCTTTTTCTCTTTTTTCTATATTGGTCTCCAAGGGTGTTTTTTCTCCCAATGCCTATAACACAATGAGCCAATTATTTACGCAGGTGAGAGATATTTCTAAAACCTAGGAAACATAGTTATTCAAAAACTTAAATTATATAAATGACTCACAGAAAAGTGATAAGATTGTATACTGCAGGTGATATTGCCAGGGAATGAGGAAAGAAAGAAGAGAGAGAGAGAGAGGAAGGAAGAAAATTTCTTAGTTAAAACATTCACCACTTCTATAATTTTTATACTGACAAACATTTCCTCTATATTGCAAATGAGTACATTTTTTCAATTCACCTGGAAATCAAGAAAAGACCCCCAAAACATTAGCAATTCAAACTTTTCAAATATACTGCTTCAGTTCAACCAAGAAACCAAATGCTGTTAAGAAATAGTCTATGCATCTGCCTCCAACAGAGTGGAAGGAAATCCAAATGAAAATGTAATGTGTCTTTCTTTATTAGAACATGATAGAACCAAAGACACCCTGGGGTTCAGTGGTCCTCTGTCCCTAGAGTCTCTTCCATGCCAAGCTCATTCTGCTTTCCTTTTATCAATTCCCTTGTATCAACTAATTCTTTGAGTTAATTGCACATGCAGTTTTAATCTGTAGGTAATTACAAACAATTAATAGTTAGGAGACAGAATTAGCAGTTCTTAGTTTGATTATCTATGTAATTAAAAGGGCTGGTAAACTAGAGCTGACAAATAGCATCTTAATCATTTGAATAATCAAGCCCCAGAAGCTTGCTTGGGTGGCTGAATTCCATTTGTTATATTAATTTAAATTTTAGAATAAATGACTGAAATGTCCATTTAAATCAATTCATATGTGTTAATTTATAGTACAAAATGAACAAGGTATATATTCTACAATTACTTAAATTACCTTCTTTTGTTTGTTCATAAGGAGGTTTTTTCACAAGGATTTAATAAAAATAAAGATGTGTAGGAGAGAAACAGTAACATCTTTTCCTTAACCGTTACAAGGTTCATATCTGACACCCCTATAGCACTGAATACTAAGAATCAGGATAGCCTTCAGGAGAGTTAGAAAAATATATGGGAACTTCATTCTGTTTATGAAATACTATTAATACAGTACAGTTGCATGACTGTTGCATAATATCTTTCTGAATTACCAAATAACTGAACAAACTTGGCAGATACTTTCAAGCTAGTAGTGAATAAAAAATGCTCAAAAAGTGTAATGGATTTTGGTTCAATATGGTTTGTTACTTTTGGCTGTGAGGCAACATCTTTAGAGCCCTGTCTAGAATACTATAATGATAAAGGAAAAAATGAAAATCTCAAGGTCACAAAAAATTAAGTCTAACCATTGACCACTTTGCAGATGAGAAGAAATTTTCCTTTAATTAGGATGATGGAAGTGAATTGAGGAAGCAATCAGTGACCTTGACCTAATAATATAATCCCTTTCACCCAATATGAAAGATGGTAGAAAGAGGTTTAATACCTCCCCACCTCAGCAGAGCTAAAATGTTCCAGATGGATGTCTACAGGTTACTGGGTACCAGACAGAAAACTGCACATTGATACCTGCTCATCAACTATAGATCTAGGGAAGATTAATCAACACACCTAAGTAAACATGGAGCGAGCTGAGAAAAAATCCACACATTCTCTCTACTTGCAATCACTCACTTTGTATAGATCTATTTCTCCTTATTTAGGGTAAAATAAACAAAGGCCTACATTAATTCAGGTAATGCTAGTTAACATTTATTTAATTCAGGGCCTACATTAATCATGGTAATGCTACTTAACATTTATCAAAGTCTTAGATTGCTTAACGCTTCACTCTGCACGACAACCCTATGAGGTGGATGCCGATGTTGTCCACATTTTACAGAGGAGAAAACATATTAAGTCACTTACCCAAGTCCAGACAGCACATAAGAGGCACATGAACTGAGGTCTATGTGAATTTGAAGACTACCAGACTACAGCACAAGAGAAAAAGTCCCTGTGGCATACTGAAAAACGGCCCCAAAGATACCCAAGTCCTAATCCCCCAAACCTGTAAATTTTAGCTCATATGACAAAAGAGACTTTGCAGATATGATTAAAATAAGAATCCTGAGATGGAAATATTATCACAAATTACCCTGGTGGGCCCTACATGTAATCACAAGTGTCCTTATTAGAGAGAGGTAGAAGGAGATTTGACTACAGAAGAGAATAAAGTGATGTGATAACAGAAGTGATAGACTGGAGTGATGTAAGGAAGGAGGTCACAAGCCAAGGAATGCAGGTGGCCTCCAGAAGTTAGAAAAAGCAAGGATATAGATTCTTCCCTAGAGTCTCAAGAAGGAACCAGTCCTTCAGACACCTTCACTTAGAACAATGAAATTGATTTCAGATTTCTGACCTCTAGAAATAGAAGAGAAAATATTTGGGCTGTTTTAATCCACCAAGTTTGTGGTCATTTGTTATAGCAGCCTTAGGAAACTAATACAGTCTGAAATTCTGAAAAGTGTTTGACATGCTCACTGTATTATATATACAAGCCAACTCTAAAATAAAAGCCAAAGCAATAAGGAAAAAATAAACGAAGACTTTATAAAATAATATTAATTTAAAGATAAACAAAAAAATGGAAACGAGCGTTTTTAAAAAGGCAAGAAATACAAAGAAACCAGAAAAGTAATGGTAGAATTAAAACACAGTTCAGAGTTAGTAGGGGTGTAAGTGACAGTGTCAAAGCACAACACTTCAGTCTGGAAGGAAATTTAAATGAGGCTCTTATTTAGGTTTACAAATCAGAGAGGCTACCTCTCATCATGAAAAGTAAGTCTGCACAGCAAGCAGAAAAGGTGA